GATCCCAAATCAGATGAATCCCAACCAGCTGTGTGACCTCTGGCAGGTCTCTGCCGCTCTCTGATTCTGTTTTCTCCTCTTACTGACAGGGTTCAACGGATGAGCCATCTGTGACCCCATTAGTCTTTGATGTCCTGCTCCCTCCCCGAACCTCCTTTCCTTGTAGTCAGGGCTCTAACCAGAAGCCTAGGAACCCGAGCTCTAGGCCAGGCCTCTGTGACTTGACTTGAGCAAGTCAAGTCCCTTCTCTGGAAGGCTCTATGTTCCCATTTCTTTAATCAGGGCAGGTCTGTTGGAACCATCTACTTCATTAGAGCCGACACAGGATTCCACCTCAGCGTTTTGAGAACTAGAGCACAACGAAAGACAACTCGGGGAAGAGGCAGGACTTTGCGGGCACTCTCATTTCTGAGACTACCTGTGTGATGTTAGCAAGTCACCTTGCTTCTCCGAGCCCACAGACACATCATCTAGAGTGCGGAGAGTAATCGGGCCCCACGTCACGGGGTTGGTCTAAGCACTGAAGGCGTCGGATCCACCAGAAACGTGGGCCGCGCGCCGCCCCTCCCCGCCCGCCGCCGGTCAGCCAGGGTCCGCACCTGCGCAGCTGCTGGATCTTGTCCCGGTAGCGGTCGTAGAAGGGGTTGGCCTCGAGCTCGGTCCCGACCCCGCTGCCGTCGGCGCCCCCCGCGGGCCCGCCAGAGCCGCGGCGCACCGGGAACACGCGCAGCTGCGCGGGGGACACGAGCCCCAGGCCTAGGGCGCGGCTGCGCACAGCGCACAGCCCCCGGTACAGACCGGCCACCTGCAACACGGCCGGGCCCGTGCCACCCGCCACCGCCGCCACAGCAGGCATGGCCGCCCCCGCCTCCTTCTCCTCCTCCTGCGGCGCGTCGACCTCAGCCCGTGGCCCGCGCGCCTGCTCCATCGCGCTCCGGGTCCGCTGCACCCCGGCTCCGGCACCGACGTTCCGCGCGCGCAAGGTTCCGGGCCCCGGGGAAGGCGAGGCGGGGCGGGTAGGAGGGGGGCTTGCGGCTCGGCCCCGGCGCCGCGCGTTCGGCCGCTCGGAGTGCCGCGGCGCGTCTCCTCCCCCGAGCCTCCTGGGCTCCACGCCTTCCCGCTCGGGTCCAGCAGCCTCTGCGCTCCGTCTCCTCCACTCCCTCTGCTTCCTGACATCCACCTTGAACTCCAGCCAAACCTCCTCTCCAAAGAGACACCTGGGTCTGTCCTAACAAGTCTTGATTTTGGCTGTTTTTGATCCTTGTAATGCTCTACCGCCATCTTCTTCATCCCCTTGAACCAAGCGGGAATTACTGGGGTCAGACCCAGTGACATCTACGTCTCCCGTGTCTCACCTGCTCCCAGAATAGAGGGCCAAACCTGGGGCAAGCCCACTACAATGGCATGATCGGTTTGCCTTCGTGGAAGTCCTTCCTGTCTGGGTCTTACCTGGTAGAAACCCCTCGTGAATGGTGGACGACTCCGGGGCAGGGTCAGAGCCTTCAACTCTTCTCAGTCCAGCCTGCACTCATAGGGGTTGGTCCTAGGCCCTGGCCTGTGCTAGAAGTAGTGTGGTGGACTCGGAGATTAGTAAGTCCTTCGAGTGTGCTGACCTATACCTGCCTCAGGATCTTTGCACTGGCTGATGATCCCTCTGCTTGGATCTGCATATGGCGGCCTCATCATTTATGGCTCAGTTCATAAGTTGGCACCTCAAAGGGACTTTTCTTGATGCATGCTATCCCTTTATATTCTTTATCCCATTACCTTATTTTATTTTCTTCATAGCAGTAATGACTATCTGAAATTCTTAGGTATTTATTTCCTTGTTTACTAATTCATGGATCTTACATTCTAGTGGGATGAGAGACAACAAACAGTTGACCCTTGAACAACACTGGTTTCAGTTGCACAGGTCCACTTACACGTGGATTTTTTACAACACTGTTAATGTGTTTTCTCTTATGATTTCCTTAACATTTTTCTTTTCTCTAGCTTACTTTATTTGTAAGAATACGGTATATGGGGGTGCCTGGGTGGCTCAGTTGGTTGAGTGTCTGACTCTTGGTTTCGGCTCAGGTCATGATCTCAGGGTCCTGGGATTGAGCTCCTGTCGGACTCCATGCTCAGCACGGAGTCTGTCTGAGTCTCTTCCTCTGCCCCTCTCCCCCCTCATGTGTGCATGCACTCTCTCAAAATAAATAAACCTAAAAAAAATAATAATAATTTATATACGCATAGTATGTGTGTTTTTTAAAAAAAAATTATTTATTTATTTGACAGCACATGCAAGCACAAGCAGGTGGAGTGGCAGGCAGAAGCAGGCTTCCAGCTGAGCAGAGAGCCTGACACGGGGCTCAATCCCAGAACCCTGGGATCATGACCTGAGCCAAAGGCAGACGCTTAACCGACTGAGTCACCCAGGCGCCCCCATAATATGTGTTAATCAACAATTTCTTTTATTGGTAAGGTTTCTAGTCAACAATAGGCTATTGATAGTTAAGTTTGGGGGAGTCAAAAGTTGTAGATGGATTTTCACCTGTGCAGGGGTCATAGTCCCTAATCCCCATGTTGTTTTCCAGGGTCGATTGTAATGTTATGTGAGGATATATGCTATGCAGAAAAACAAAGCAGGCTAAGAGAGAGATACGGGACACGAGCAGAATGCCGATGGAAATGAGGGAATCATCTGCCTGGGTATCTGGGAGAAGGGCCTTCCAGATTGAGGGAACAGGGAGTGCAAAAGCCTTGATATAGGAGCATGCTTGCCCTACTTGTGGAATAGCAAGGAGGTTCTTATGTGAAGAAGTGTGGGGAGGGGTAGTTAGAGCACTTCGGGCTCTGTAGACCTTGGTTAAGGACTTTGGTTTATATCCTAAGTAAGATGGAAAGTCACTGTAGGTTTTGAGCAGAGAAGTAACATGCTCTACTTTTATTTTTTAATCTACTTTTTTAAAGGATCATTCAGGCTGCTGGCAAAATACAGGGCATGGGGGGGGGGCAAGGTCGGAAGCTCTCCCAAGGGTGGCCAATTTGTCCTAGTTTACCTGACTTTCCTGGTTTTAGAGTCGAAAATCCTGTGTCCTGAAAAATTCCTCAGTCCCAAGCGAAATGGGATGGCTGGTCACCCTAGGGGGAGACCAGTACTCCAAGTGGGGGAGGATGGTGTGTAGAATGCAGTGATAGTGATGGGAAAGAGGTCATGTTCGGAATGTGTGTTGAAGGCAGGGCCTACTGATTGTGCTAATGGAGTGAAGGTGGCTATGAGGGAATGAAAGGCGTCAAGGGTGACTTGCAGGCTCTTGGCCTGAACAACTGGAAGGACAGAGTTGCCATTTAGAGAGAGGAGGAAGGCAGGAGTAGGTTTTGGAGGATGGCTGCTCAGGAGTTTGGTTTGGGGCATATTGGTTTGAGATAACTTAATAGACTTAATCCCCTTAATGTCAGCCAGGCTGTTAGGTGAGCGAGTCCAAAGTCCTGCAGAGCAGTGTGGGCTGGAGATAGAAAGTGTGAGTTGTCAGTGCAGGTGTAATAAATACTTAAAGCCATGAGTCTGGATGTGACCACTGAGGGAATCAGTGGAGACAGAGGGCTGAGGACTGAGCCCTGGGGCAGGCTGGCATTTAGAGATCAGGGGAAAGAGAAATCAGCGAAGAGACTGAAGAGCAGAAGCCTGTGAGATAGGAGAGCCGAGTGTAAGGGGAACCTGGAGGGCAATCTGGGCTGAATAGTGTCCCCAGTCACACGTCGGGGGGCGGGGGGTTATAAAGGGGGAAGTAATTAAATGGTGCCAGTAGCTGAGCTAGGCCCAGGGGTGCAACCTCAGGGAGGCAGACTTGGGCTTCGTTAGGGAAGGGCTTTCTAACTGAGCTGCCCCAGGAGGTGTGGCAAGTCACACTCAGGTGAGTCCTGCGGCACTGGCTGCTGGGTGGGGGACATCTACCCCCAGGGCTCAAGCATCTAACTGGAGCTGGACCACACAACTCTCTAGGTCCCTTCAAACTGGACATGATGGGATTTGGGGAAGCCAACAGAAACAACTGTCACGGAGTTGGGGCGGGGGGTACTGAGCTGGGCCTTGAAGGATAAGTAGGTGTTCAGTCCAGGGGAAGTGGGAAGGGCACTCCTAGGTGGAGGAGCAGTGTGAGCAAAACTCTAGAGATGTGAATAGGCTGGGTCTGTTCCAGAGTCCGGCCTGGTCAGAGGGCAAGGTGTGTGAACGATACGGAGGACGGTGAAGCTGGAGATGTGGGTCTGGATGGTGGGGCACTCCTACAGGGCCTGATGCCCAGGAAACACTTGCTAACACTTGTTAGTTAGAAAGGTTATAGAAGTCTTGAGGGTGGGGCGCCTGGGTGGCTCAGTCAGTTAAGTGTCTGCCTTTGGTTCAGGTCATGATCCCAGGGTCCTGGGATGGAGCCCCACGTCAGGCTCCCTGCTCAGCGGGGAGTCTGCTTCTCCCTCTGCCTGCCGCTCCCCCTGCTTGTGCTCTCTCTCTCTTTCAAATAAATAAAACCTTAAAAAAAAAGGTCTTGAAAAAAAGGGCAGCAACGCTGCCCAAAGCTGTGTGTGCTCCCTGCCACATTCCTCCCTGGTGACAGGTATCCATCAACTGTTTCTTGAAGCCCAGAAACATGGATAGACCCCTGAGACACCTGGGGGCTTCTCTGTGGGTTCACCATAAAAGGTGGGGGGCAGACAATTCAGTGGGTGGGGCAGTCCCTGGCAGTAGAGACACACTAGGCCTACGAGACACCATTGGATAGAGTCCCTTCCTTCCATCAACCCAAGACTTCACAAGCACTGCCTCTAGAATGTTTAATGCTCAGAACCCAGTGACCTCATCTTTAGGGAACAATGGGACTAAACATTCCAGGGCCTTCTATTGGCTGGGCAGATGGGTAGGTGAGCTCCCTCTCCCCAGAGCCATCGGCTGGGGACCAAGGCTCGACCTTATGGATTCCCAGCAGGAGGACCTGAGCCTCCCTGGTGGTAAATGCCCTTCCAGTCCCTGCCTCTTGCCTTGTGCCCTTGGTGTGGGGCAGACACTCAGGGAAGACCTTTTACATGGATGAGTGGTGGCCTGTATGGAGGAGTGATAAGCAGTTAGGGTATACTTTCCTCTAGAAAACTAGGGATTGAGGGCAGAGATCATGTTTCTCTGCTGAACCGGAGAGGGTTACAATGAATACCCTAGGACCATCACAGCTGAATGGGTAAGGGGTATGGTGGAATGGGATGGGACGCTGGTGTCCCCGTCCCCTATAAACTTACTTCCTTGATGGGTTTTGCCTTTAGTAAGGCTTTTCAATCAGATGGATTGGATGGGTCCCGGGTTGGGAACAAGAGGCTTGACCAAGTCTGGGCTGGTCATGGCCCCTCTAAACCTAGCTTTCCCGACCTGTAAAGTGCCAAAGGTGGCCTCTTAAGCTCCCTGGAAATCTAGCGTTGACTGAATAAGAGACTGATGAGGCAAGTCAATGAGGAGGGAAGGGAGGAATGGAGAAAGTGGTTAAGTGGGTGGGATAATTGATGAATCGGATAGGGAGAGGAATGAGAAATAGCTCAGGCCCCAAGTTAGAGCTATCAACCAGCTTGCCTCTTTTACTTTCTTGCCTCAGTGTGGGTCTCACTGTACTTCGGATTCCTGGGGCTGTGTTCTGTGGTAACCGGCGGCTGCATTCTCTTTCTGCACTGGAGGAAGAACTTGCGGCGGGAAGAGCGTGCCCAGGAGTGGGTGGAGGTGATGAGGGCCGCCACGTTCACCTACAGCCCGCTGTTGTACTGGATTAACAAGCGTCGGCATTATGGCATGAACACAGCCATCAACACGGGCCCTCCTCCTACTGTCACCAAGACCGAGACTGAGGTCCAGAATGCAGATCCTCTATGGGATTTGGACATCCCCACGGGCAGGAACTCTGCTGCCCAAGACAGCAGCCCCAAGGTGGAGGCCCCTGCCCCGCTACGACCTCCGCTGCAGCCCCTACCTTCGCCAATGCTGCGGTCCCACACCAGCTCCCCAGTCACGGTTCCCGTCTTCCAGGAGGTTCCCTTTGCCCTTTCCCTGTGCAACCTGCCCCCAATGCTGAACCACTCAGTCTCCTACCCTTTGGACATTTGTCCTGAAAGTAACGTCCACTTCCATTCCCTCCCTGCTATGGCCCATGGAGACCACTGCTTCAGTGCCAAGCCTTTTGCTTCAGAATTATAGCCTCCTCTCATTGAGGGTGGGAGCGGGAGTTATCAGGGGCAGGGCAGGAAAATGGTGCTAACCCCAGGAAGGTGGTATTGACACAAAGGCCAGAGCCCATCTGAATGTCACATTATGAAAGACTGAAAAAAAGCCCAAGGCTCCCTTGTGTCTCATTTGTCATTAGGAGGGCAATGTCTTTCCCCTGTTTGATGGGGACACTTTGCAAAAAGAGCTTAAGGTCATAAATGGGAACCAGAGGGTTGGCTGTGGGGAGACACAGAGAATCAGTAAACATGAGCTCAACATCCCTCTATTCAGTATTTAAGACCAAAAACACATGCCAGACCATGGGCCACGTACCCAGTGGCACTGCTGTTTTGTGGGACATTTAGCACAGCTGCCACAAGAGTGAGAGCTGCTGGGGGTGCGTGAGCCATGGCAATTCACAGCGGCCGTGTCACACGCAAAACAAGTCATTGTGAGATCCGTGAGCCACACTGCATTTCTGGCTAAATTGCATTCTTCATTAATATTGATGATGCAGAGTTCTTTTATGGTCGTCTCTACATTATGTCTAATACAAGAAAACTGCCAAATGGACCTCACAATCCTCCACTTATAAATGAAGAGACAGGTTCCAAGGGCATATTGTTTTTTTTATTTTTTTTTAAAGATTTTATTTATTTGAGAGAGAGAGAGAGAGAATGATAGAAACCACAAGAGGGAAGAGGGTCAGAGGGAGAAGCAGACTCCTTGCTGAGCAGGGAGCCCGATGTGGGACTCGATCCCGGGACTCCAGGATCATGACCTGAGCCGAAGGCAGTCGCTTGACCAACTGAGCCACCCAGGCACCCTGGGCATATTGTTTTTATACTGCAGAGCTAGGTCTCAAATTTACATCTGCCTGGCATCAAAGTTCTTGGTCTTCTCAGCATACACCATGGTGTCCCTTCCCTAATGATAAGTCCTTAGAAAACACTTGGCAAATGTTTGTGTGTGCACGTGCATGTCTGCAGGGCGTAATTAACTTGGTCCATGAATTGGCTTAGGAGGAGGGCAGGTCATTGAACCCTCTAAAATTACACAGATAATTAATTTTTTTAAATCCTTATCAAAGGGATCCATGGACCTTCCAAAAGTTAGTACCCATTATAGGGAATATTTTTGTGCGTTTTGGAAACAATCCTAAAAGGAGAGAGAATACTGGCATTTGGTCCCACTCTGAAGATAAGAAAGCCCAGGGGTGCCTGGGTGGCTCAGTTTGTTCAGCTTGCCTTCAGCTCAGGTCATGATCCTGGAGTCCTGGTTTTGAGCCCAGAGTCCCTGCTGATCAGGGAACCTGCTTCTCCATCTGTCTCTGCTGCTCGCCCTGCTTGTGCTCTCTCTCAAATAAAATCTTTAAAAAAAAGAAAGCCCAGTTCCACCCCAGGATATAAATTTTCCCCTTCACGTTGGGAATGAAGAAATCATCTGACCATATTGCCGGAGTCCAGCTCCAGCAGGGGAAGGGTCCTTGAAGGAAAGGACGGCGTCAGCGAGTGAGGAGACACAGACACAGGATCAGGTGTAAGCTTCTCCCTCCAATAGCCTCGGAGCGACTTATTTATAGCTTACAATGTGTGCACCCTCTTATCAAAGTACTTATTCCATTTCTATATGTTTTCATCTCTTGTCCTTGCTCCAGACACCACGGAGGATCACTCCTCTTAATCCTTTCCCAGAGGCTGTCAGATGTTGCCCACACCCTTTTTCCCTTAATCTTATACCATTTGTTCATGTCCTCATTATCAACTCCAGTATAAGGAATGGGAGGAATAGGGGTAAGGACGTTAATCCTATTCCAGGGCTTGCCTCGAGGGGCATACCAGAGGTAGCCTATTTGTATGCAACATAGGGAGGTCCCTGTACCATGGGAACTACAATGTGATTTTCCTTTCCTAGAATCCTGATGTTTCAGAGGTGCCTGAGGAATCTCATCAATTGGAATTTTTACTGGGCCTGGATCCAATAGCTCCCTTACAGATTGGAGGACATTGGGTATTTTTACTTCTTGGCCCATCGTCGGCCTTTTTGGAATCAGTTTCATTATGATTGCTTGCATAGGCATAACTAAATTTATAAATAATTTTATCATGAAACCCCAGAAAAAATCCCATAATTATAAAGTTTGCTGCAAATAAAATGAGAGGAAGTAGCAGGAGCCAGCTGTGGAATCTCCTGATTTTCAGGATTGTCCCTCATACTTGGACTTTGTCAAACAGCATGAGTAGCTTGGCTCGCGCCATCATATTTGTAAATGAGCTAAGCTTTATGTAGTCTTCCCTGAAGGAAAAGGCCACCCAGATCGTGTATGTTTGCTTACGTGTGTGTAATCCTAGAACCCTAGCAAACGTGTAATTTTTCTCATTTTTTTTTCTGTGTGTGTAAAAGCTCCAGCCCCTATATGACCTTTCTCTTGGAATGGGTGTCACCCCCCCACCCCCTGTATAAAAAGGCAGTGGAACATTCCTTGTCAACACGCTCTTCCACTGAATCTTAAAAAAAAACCTCCAAGAACCAAAAAAAAAAACAAACAAAAAAAAACCCAACCAACCAAACCAAAAAAACCCCAAAACGCAAAACACCAATGGAGACCCAAGTGGAGCTTGGCTGATACAGAGAGGGGAAGGGACTCCCTCTCCCCTTACCAACCCCGCCCAACCCTGCAGATGCCCAAGCAGCAGCCTTCACTTCTTCAGGCTAGATGCTGCAGTTCTTAAGGCAGATTTTTCACCATTTGTTAGTTCTTGCTTTCAAAAAGAGAAAGGAGTCTATACAAATAGGGATCAAAGCAGATTTTTGTTTTCTTAGTAACTGAAGGTATGGCGTGGGAGGGGGGAACCTTTAATCACAGACACTGTGGGAGAAAAAGGAAATGTTTTATTTAGATAAATTAAAATAGCTGTATTACTGATATGAAATAAGCAAAGCTCAAGTCATAGAGACCTTGAATTCACTCTCCAAACAGAACCAAAATTGCTCATACATTACCAAAATAGCTCCACTAAAGCAAAGTAGATTTACATTTCTTAATATGAGAAAACAACAAGGTAGGTTAGGTTCGTATAACAAACAATACACACTCTATAAAGTCTCAGGAATACCCAAATGTGTTCCGGTTAGGATATGAAAGAAGGGACCACATCTAGCTGGTGTTGGCAAGTAAGCCAATGAGGTGTGTAGCAAACAAAAGCTGTCACTAAAAACAACTCAACAGCAGGCCATTATGAGTATGAGCCCATCACAGTCAAAGTCTTCAACTGTGACCGCAAGACCAGCAGTGGGAGGTGGGGGCAACGGAGTTACGTCCAGCAAAGCAACGTAAAGTGAGGAAACACCACTGGCAGGAAAAGTAGCGAGCAGCAGGTGAGGGGTGTACTGTCCTAAGTGCCAGGTCCCTCTCTGCCCTTAAGAGGACATTACCCTTATTCCTAAGCCAGGTTCTCTATTCCTTTGATTCTTCTCTTCCTAGAACATGTTTTTGGTCCTCTGATTTCTAGGGAGGCTCTTGAAGTAAACATTATCTCAGATAGTACAGGCAAAAGCAAAGAAGAACCGAGAAGCTGTGCTTTGGGTCACTTAAGAAAGCCTCAGTAGAAGCTGCCAGGGTGAAAAGGTGAAAGTATTTGAAATAAACACCAAAACCCAATCTTCCTCTCAGAGCTGAGATATGAGGCAAGGAGGCTTGAGTACAGCTCAAAAGTCACAGGTTGGGGAAGTTCAGACAACGTGCAAATAAAACTCCCAAATTAACACTGAAGAATAGGCTCATCAAACTCTTAAGCCAATGAATCTCAACCTGATGCCCTTGTTCTGCCTGGGAGCTAGGGCAGCAGCACAGCAAGGGTAGTCAGTCTGAGAGTGTGGCCAGAACACCTCTGCCTGATGTGACAGCAAGTGGTACGATCCAGCTAGCTCCAGGATGATGCGAGCCAGCTGAGCTTGAGGTGGGACAAACAGGTGAGAAACTGAAAAACAAAACTGCCTTCTCCAGGTGTAGCTATCTGATACAAAAGAAAAGTACAGACAACAAAGACTTAAGGGGTCCTCGGAGTATCTGCCCATGAATTAAGAATTTGAAACTAAAATGGACAAGCTACATTACCCTCAAGTATATTTCATATAAATCAGTTCTCAAAAAAAATACCTTCCAGGTACAGACATATTATTTATGGTACAGTATATACAAATATAGCAGTATAGGTCAATTTATTGCTAGAATTTTATTTGGTTGTTACAAAATCTATAAGGGTATATACATTTAAAAAGGGGGGGGTGCAAGGAAGGCAGCCAGAAGAAAAAGAGTTGTCTTCAAGTTACCTAAAGTGCCAGGCTAACTTTATGCTATATTTTAACCTTTCCAAGAAAGAGAAATAGCTCAGGTAGGCAAAAAAATCTTGTTTTCTTTAAAAAAAGAGAAGCACAAGCCATAATGAGGTAAGCAGACACATTTATGGGAAAAGACTTCATCTTGCTTTAACTAAATGTTAATACTTTCAGAAAAAAAATCAAAGTTAGCCAACACTAAACTGAAGACTACATAAAGAAAAAAAACAGCCCTTAAATGTTTAAAGGAGCTCGATGGCATCCCTGGGTAACAGGGCAACTAGGATGAAGTGAAAATGGAAACGAGCTCTACTAAAGTCTGTGCCATGAAAGCTCTAGTTTCTCCCTGACTTGGCCTACAGAACGGTTAAGTTTCACAAAATTCCTCCTTTTGTGTTGCCCAAAGCCTGCGTCTAAGAACAGCACAGCACACACACAGGGAATACGGACGTGTGATTCCTTCCAGTCTGGAGACCTTTCATACCAGGCCTACGGAAATATTTAAAGGGAAGTGTATTGCACTTGCTTGTTAAGAGATTTGAAAAAACTTGCTGCCATCATGTGGTGCCCCCCTGCTCCAGGCCTACTTGATATGGGTTGGCATCCTCTGGACACAATGCCTCTAGCTACTTCGGAGCTGACAACTGTAAGGGAACCTGATGTGATTTCATGTGCTGCATTTCACAACCCCTTTGGCTTTAGGGCACAGAGGAATATACTACGTTCTTGGTAGGCCTCCAGATAAAATGTCAAGGAGTTTCCTGGGTCACAATGAGGGGCAAAGCTA